CGTTGTTGCTTTTATAGTTGGTGTCGTTGTTGTTGGTGGTGGTGGTGTTTTTCTCGTTGTTTTTCTTGTTGTCTGTAATGTTGTTTTTCTTGTTGTCTGTAATGTTTTTCTTGCTGTTGGTGTTGTTGTTGTTGGTGGTGTTTTTCTAATTGTTTTTCTTGTTGGCATTGGTGGTTTTATTATTATTATAGGTTTTCTTCTTGATGGAGTTCTTGTTGTGGTTGTAGTTTTTCTGGTTGTTGTGGGTACAGGTGTGGTGGTTGGTTTCTTGTTGATTACAAACTCTGCAAACGAGAAAAATTGATACATTGATACATTTGTTCAGTTTATTTAACATGTTGCACATTGACAAGATAATGAGAAGAATAGACAATTATTTTGACAGCTTTCAACAGATAAAGCTCTGATCATAAGTCTAACGTTTCTATAAAAAACAAAAACAGAAAAATCGGAAAACATTATTTTAAGATTCCCCCAGATTTACCTTCTTTGGGGTGGAAGTGAATCAGTTTTCCCTTTATTTTAACAGGTGAAGGCTTGATGTTGCATTTTCCTGGCGGCGCTCGCCTGTGTGGTCAGGAGAGAAAAAATTAGCACATAGGAGAGCAGCGACAAGTTAATTTTTCACAATTAAAATGTCCTGGTCAGTACGAATTTTGGTCAATTGTTTAATAACCCGACTTAACTAACTTAACTAAGCTTTGTTTATGTCGTGTGCTTCTGTAAACAAATCAATATCAGCCTATAAATAGTTATCAGATCAAATTTCAAACATGGATATCGTTATTAGGCCAAAAATCAGTCAGACTCTGACTATAACTTAAAGCATATTTTGGATAAAATACTGAACTGAAACTCATTTTAGCAACGAGTAGCCTCAATGCTTTGCTCTAATCACAAAATCAAGAGGATATTCCATGTATTATGGAGTGGGATGAGACTGGCTGGTAGGGGGCTTTTTAACATAGGTAAACCTATTTTTATTTGGGTATTATGTATTTATTATTTTGTTTAGTCAAGGTCTATATAACCCACAATGACCAGTTTCGCCATTTATTGGTATCATCATAGAAAATTTGACCCAAACTTCTAAATCACACACCCAGGTAGGCATCATGAAAGTGTATTCGTTCCTACCTGGAAGGGTCCACTATCTTATAGATGACTCCTGCTCTGGCTGTGGCACTCGGGACTCCTGTGGCTAAGAAATACAGTTCCCCTAAATCAGATGGACAGAGGCAGAGAGAGATGAGTAAAGGACAAAGAGAAAGACTCAAAGGAAAAAAAGTGTGAGTGAAGATGTTTGGCAAGAAGGAAAGAGACAAATGGTGAACAGCAGTGTGGGGGAGGGGGTATATTTACATTTAATATGGATGGGAGAGAGAGCAAGAAAGCAGAGGAGAGAGACAAATACCAAAACAGGGGAGATGGAAAGGGGAAAGTTACAAAACGTGTGTACAGAGTAGGGATCTGGACTTTCCTTGAACTTAAATCTCCTCTGAGGCACTTTCAGAGAGACGGAAGAGATTATTTAAGATCAACAGCATGTGTGCAACACTTTCGCTAGTAAATCAAAAGTCTCTTTAATTCAAACCAGATTCAAAGTTAAACCTAACCCCCATCTCCTGAGTCCTCTTATTTCCCCAGAAGTGGAGGAGGGGTCAGTCGTTCAGGAGAAAGTTGATTGTTGAGTCTTATTCCCAAGTCGTCAAATTCCGACGCTTCTGGTTTTCAAAGCTGGGAGCACGGACGGCACCTGTTGTGTTTCTCACTCATAGACTTTTTTTTAAATTTCCTATTAACCATAAATCCAAAGCATCAGTATTTGACGACCTGCGAATGAGACTCAACAATCAAATATCTTTCCACTGTCCAATACCATAGGAACAGAAGGAGTCAGAGGAATCTGTTTTTTTCAGAGATTATCTGTCTCATGCACAGGATATAATGAAAGTTTCAGCAAATATTACAAAGTTATTTGTATAATAGTTACCCACTGCAGCTTTAACCCTTAATGACATCGTTCATTTGTACCTTTAATTATATAAAATATGTGTACGTGACAATGAGGCTCTCTCTTCCTCGTACTACATCTAAATAAACCATGTGATGCTCGGTGCCAATACAAGAGAAGAAAACACACAGACACAGTTATTACCTGCTTCATCCTCAGCAAACGAGATGATGTATTTATAGTAACTGTTGATGAGTTTGGGGAATCTGCAGGTCTGGTCTGTCCCCATGCAGATTTCATTGTACTGCCATTCACCAGTGGTGACATTCTCCTTAAGAGACATCAGACGCCTAAACAGAAACAAACAGCACATAAGCACAAATATACATATCTACCCCCAGAAATAGTATATATACATGCATTTACTTTAAATATGTAATCAAGCCTGTGAACGATAGCACAATATAAGTGCAGCTTATTGCAGTCCTTATTTAAAGTGTTTGTGTTTCTCCAGCCACACTTACTGTAATACTTGATGTTGCAGTGGCTTCGCTAAAAAAATTGAAGAGAAGGTTTGGCTAAAAATCCACAATCACAAGGACAGCTGCAGATGTTTTAATTAGGCTGCACATTGTGATAATGTGGCAATTACGGCTGCCACGATTTGGACTCTGGGTCTCTGCAGTGATAGGTGTGAATTTGTCTAAATAAAATGTCTAAAACTAAGATTTTAGAATAAAGCTGAAGCACATACCCACTCATGAAGTCACCGAATATGTAGAGCCCATTGAGGTTGGGCATCTGACAACCTCTGTAGATGTATCCTCCTGTCACTGATTTGCCCAACTTGTGGGGGTAGGCAAAGATAGGCAAGATGTCATCTAGACATAGAACAACACATCAGTTTACACAGTGTATCACGATAACAAGAAGACAATACTATAGCGGCATACTGTACACTGAATAAGAAATATGCATTGTATTTAGAGGCTTATGTAAAGGCACTTACAAAGCCAACAAAGCTTTCATAACCTTTTCTAGGAATATTACTTAACAATTGGATCCTTCACAGATTTTTTAAAGTGTGTCACAGCTCACATCTGTAACCATTCTGCAGAAGCTTCTTTGTGTATTTATATGTTTCAGTTTATGGACTCCAGAGTGAATGAAAGTGGCCTCACCTAGCGAGGAGTTTTGGCAGAGTTTGCGATCGTAGCAGCTGAAGCCTTCTTTGGCCCTCCATCCGTAGTTGCCTCCTTTAAACATGTATTGATAAAGTTAGTGCAACTTCTCAGTGAAATAGCTACTGTACTGTTCTTTCTAAATAAGTAAATATACTATGAAAAGACTCACAGTACTATTGTACTCCACCAGCTGTAATTGGATGTTTATGCCATACCCTTTTTGGATTTTTACACAACCAGATCCCATTCACCTTAATTGTTAGGGGGAAGACTGAGATTAAACAGTCTGACTCACTGTCTGTGTGGTCTTTGAGAGAACAGTTGGAATGACAACCATCTCATGCAAGAGTGAACTATTTCTTTGTCTCTCAGCGAGTGGAGTGAAGGCCAACTAAAATCGTCCCACCTTTGACAATGAGGTCCACCTCTTCATATTTGTTCTGGCCTACGTCACCACAGAACATCCTGCCTCTGCCTCGGCCTGTAGCAGGGTCACCGCGGTCAATGGAGCAGCGCCACATGTTGCGAACTCCATAGGCATAAACCTCTGCAGAGAGAGGAAGAAAGTAATTTACACGTTGCCGCAAAAAGCCTGTGTTTACAGATTCACTTTCATTTGAGTCATGTTTTCCTCAGTCACACATCATGTGAGCTCTTTAGAAAAGCGCAAATAAAGTCTAGATTAATATTTACAATCGTGCCATTTGTCTTAAACGTTCAGTTTATCTAAAAAGCCACCAAACGTAATTGTATAGAATATTTTATGGGATTTACCAGGTCGTGCATCCTTCTCCCACAAGAACGGGTTGTCTGAGGGGATACTGTACGGGGCGCCATTGTCATTGTCCTCAACATCAACACGCAGCACCTTGCCGAGGAGCGCTGACCTACAACACAGAGAGTAGATGACAGAGTGAGAAAGATTCAGAGAGGCTTCAAGACTGAGGTGTTAATTTTTCTTTCTAACTTGTGTTTCTTTATCTCCAAAGTCTGCTCACGTTGTCCCTTCATCCTCATTTTATATATGTATCTTCCTCTGCATTAACCTTCCCTAGTTTTTATTTTCCATAAAGATTTTGTCTTTCGCATCTTTGTCTTTATCTCTGTAACTTTGTTCTCCAACCTTGCACACCTTCAACACTCCTGTCTTTGGTCATTCTCCTCTTTTCTTTCTACCCTTGCTCCATCTTTTTCCAGTCTTAAGTATTTCTCTCCAACATTGCACCTTTCTCCTCCCTCAGCCCTGGTTGCTCTCTTCTTAAACCTCCTTTCCACTCTTTTCCTAACCCACCTCTCTCTCTCTCTCTCTCTCTCTCTCTGTCACTCTCTCTCTCTCTCTCTCTCTCTCTGTCCCCCCCCCCTCCAAATACCAGTGTGTGGCGGTCCGCAATGTGTAGTGTCAATATTAGACTTGGCAGGGTGTATCTTCCCCCATTCCCAGAACAGCTAATACAGCATGTCAACAAAAACCCCTCAGAAACAGCTAAAGAGCTAAATGCTAACTGTCTGGAGAAAAGGTGTCAGCATCTCAGATAAACACCTCGCTCAGTGTTTTGTTATGTCAGTAATATGCTGCTGATACTTAAACTTAATCTTTTCATCAGACTTTCCTCAGCCACAGTTCTTTGCTAATTTTGGACTGGTTTTTTGTGAGAAACAGTACAATTTATATTCAAGTTTAGCTTTAGCCACTCTATGAACTTAAAGGATAAAAAGGCTGTTTTTATTTTTAGTTCATTTAATTGTTTCAAGTTGATTTCATAGTCACATCTTATTTTGGCCCATAACTGTTGTCCAAGCTCCACAACTCACTGTTTAATTATTGTGAATAACATTTTTGGAGTATTATGTAATGTGTATCCTGCAAATGAGCAGTAATATTTGCACTTGCTACCTTTTTGTACTTTGGATGAAAATGACGATATACAGCTGTAGCTTATAGCTGAATGAACCTTCTTTACAGACATACACATAATAGCATCTATATATATGTGTGTATTATTATGTGTGTTTTATTTTTCATTCCTAAAGCCTAGAAAAACAAAAAGTGTGAGAACAACAGGTCATCTCCGCCCATAAAGTGGAAAATAATAACTGTCAATCAATGACACTATCTATGTATGCTGCCCTAAAAATGTAAGTAATACAATATGATGTGATGCTCTGCAGTCTGACATTTGCCCACCATTACTTCAGATGTGTAGTCTATTAATGGAAAGTCCCATCTCTCCTAATCATTGGACAGTTCATTCACACTGCTCATGCAATAATTTTTGGCGGCAGGCTTGCATTCAGCCCTGTTAGTGCAATTACACAGTCCCTTCCAAAAGCGTTCAACACTCTTCATATTTGAGCTTTTCTCAGTGAACCATAGAGTTTGTACAGAAAAGTGATTATTGCAGTCTTAATTTAAAAAAGTGCTCTGCAGGGCCTGGCATGTGTGAAGTTTACATGTTTATGATAACTTGTGTACACAACTGACTCATATTTACCTTTAAAGTGATACTTTACGTTATAAGAGCAGGTTCCCCACCCAGGAAGATCCTCAGTTTGTGTGTATTTTCATAAGTGGAAAAAAACTGTTTTTAAAAAGCTATCATTTATAGTTGCCACTGAGAAAGGTCTACACAGGTTTGAAGATTATCTTCTCTATAATTTTGATCCTTTTCATTGGACTTAATTCTAATTAATTTTAGGCAGGAACAATTTTTTGGCAGAACTGGCTAGTTCTAAGGTGTTTGGTAATATTTTATATGATGAACACCTTTATCATTAAAACTTTTAACAACCGCCTAGAGCAGTCCAAAGGATGTGTTTATCTTATTTTGCCATATTCATTTAAATTACATATAAAGCTGAAACGTTGCAAGGAGAGACAATTACGAGTCAAACGCACGTCATAGATGTGCTGCTTATTTTCAAGTTGGCTGTTATGGCATGAAGACATGTTTTGTTACAACAAAAGTGTGCTACTTCAGGAACTTGATATGAAGTGTTAGGAACAGGCGCATTAAAATGCCTGACCCCAGTTTGGTGTCAAATGCTTTCAAATTTAACATAATATTTAGATTAATTTTAAAAATAATGTGTTTAAAAATAGAAATCAACACATACAATTGAATTATCTCTTATGGCCACATTTTAGACAAGTGATTGATTTCTCATGCCAATTTTAGATATTGTATACGTGTGTCACAATAATTGAATGTTTGAGTTAAAATAACTTAATTTGTGGGATTTTTCAAGCAAATATTTATATATGGAAATATAGCAAAAGGAAATACTGAAGTCAACAAAATCAAGCACTTTCCATAAAAATAAAATTTATTAAATGATACTTACTTGTTCTGTGAGTTGCCAAATTTTCCAAATGGGTCCCCAGCTCTGCCACCATCACCAATAAATATGTACAAATACCCATCATGGCCAAATAGAAGCTGTCCTCCATTGTGATTGGATGCCGGCTCTACCACCTCAAGGATGGTTCTGAATCAAGACACACAACAGGAGGATGAATACACACATCAAACATCTGTGCATGTAGACATTGAAAACAAATCCTCCTTCACATACAGGTACCAATACCAGAACTTACAAATACCATTAGAACTAGAGGACTAATAGAAATATTTATAAAATCTCTGTCTCTTTGTTTCCACTCTGAACTTTACCTCTCAGAGGAGTGGTCTAGTTGGTTGTCATCATGAATTAAAAGTGTGAACTCGCTGATCCGTATCCTCTCCTCCTTCTTGACAGATACAGAGTAGTATACATAGGCTTTTCTGACCGTGGTGAACCTATGCACAGAAGAGAACCAGAAGCAGTCATGCAAAATATTACTACTACAACTATATAACCCTCACAGATAACTGTACTATTATTAGTGAGAGTATGAACCTTGGATGTAGTGCTATGCAGAGGAATCCCCTCTCATCTCCTGCCCACGGCGATGTAAGCACAGCCCTGGTGAGGTTGAGGAAAGGGCGGTCGATCCTGGAGCCGTTGGCCAGATACACCCACACATAACCCAGCTGCTCTGCCACAAAGAATCGATGAGTTCCATCGTCTGCGTGAATCATGGCCACAGGGTTACGGAGCCCATTGGCAACCTCCTGTAAACACAACTCCAGACATCCCTTGGGATCTTCACGTACAAAGCCAAGGTTAGCATTTAGCTCTGGGGACAGAAAAGAAGATACAGGAGAGGAAACCAGGAGTAATAGGATACAATTAATGGATCAGTATAAACACACAAAACAGAGGATTGATTGTATTAGTACAGCTTCCTCTCTCCTGGTTTCTTAAGGTTACCATTAACCAGCAAATAGACGTACTACTGCCAGAATCTGGACCAGAATTATCACATAATGCCTTTAACACCTTAAACTTCCAATTCACACAATATTAGCATGGCATATAAAATATTCATGCACTAGCACCATTACTGTATTCATTTTCTAACCATGCTTCTGTTCTTTGACATAATATCTTTGCTGCAACCATGGAGGCAAATTCTACTTATATCTTGCTTATGTTTTTACCACAGCCAACCTTACGTGCAGACTAGCAAGGAGTGGCAATGTCTGCTCATAGATAATACAGTAATTACAATTTCTTGTTAGTGCAAGTTCGGGTTCTTGCCAATGGGAATTTAGTTGATGTCCTGTTTTCTCAGTCTGTGACAACCTGTTTGTTCACATTGGCTGTTTATGTAAGTTGGAGTAATCATATAAGTTGTATGGTTTCTCTCAACTCAACCTCACAACTACATCAGACATGTTTGAGCTTTCATGGGTATGTGTGCGTGTGGGCCTGCTGCCTGCGTGTAGACACCATACCTGCATTTGTAACGACATTAGGATAGCAGTACTGGTTGTCCTTCAGCACCAGAAAGTCACAGAACCTTCTGCGATCTTCTTCGATCGTTGCAGTCAGGTTTGCAAACTGCTGCGGGCTCCCCAGGTCCTCCAAGAGGAGACTGAGGGTGTACCGACACTGATGCCAGTATTCAGAGCAGTAATCGCCGCACAGTCCAGGCAGCATCCGCATAGGTGTGTTAGCATCTTCGGCATCGTACAGGTGGGCAGCGTATGGAGAACACTCCTGCATAGAGAAAGATGATTTAACGATTAAAAATTAGAATAAATGCAGAAATTGATATTTCTGGTTCCATCTATAGAGATCTTACTCATTGTTTATACTTATTAACCCTCTTTTAAGCCGATATGTTTATCTCAGAGGTAGAGTTAAGGGCATGTATGGATCACAGTAAGTATAACATTTGTGTCCTTATTCCACCACAGCTCCTCACCACCTCACTTTGACTGGTCAGGCCTGGGTTATATACAGGCTGTCTGAGTGCAGCCTGGTATAAATGGATCCCAGGAAGGTCCAGTCAGTTATTAAGTCACAACCACACCGTCCACACCCAGAATGGTGAACTGCAGGCACAGGGAGACACAACACCCAAACCGTCATGCGGTCGACTTGCACTTTTACCCAGTGCCAGATCAGCCTAACCGATCATCACCAGGAAACACAGTCCAAAGCACTAAAAGATCACTTAGTTACTCATAAAATGTTTGGTAGAAGACAAATGTGACTCAAGGCTTGAGCTCAAAGTGCAGTATCTCTCCCATTTTGTTTGTTCCTAACGCAAAATGGGATCAATAATGATGGTAAAAATTAGACTTTAATCTATGGAACATTTAAGAGTGACATGACATTTGTAGTGGATCATTTGTGGAGACTTTTCCAAAGAACATTTATGATATTTAGGCAAAAAAGTAATGGGAGGCAAAATCTTGAAGATGGTTGTTTGCACAACAATAAACACAACATTCAGTGTTGGCCCCTCCTCCCTGGCTCTTTAACACCGTAGCTTCCTCTATGATTCATGCTTATGTTCACCTGGTTGCTTCCTTACAATCCTGCCCTCACACCAGGCACGCTGTTATTGGCTGGGAGCTACACACCTACTGCCCAAAGAAACACAGCACAAAAAGAAAATACAAATGCAGATACATTACCGCAAACTTCCAGTGGGTCATAAGTGATGCTTGAAATTGTGCTTTTAAATAATTTAGCACAAATCAGAAGAGACTGACTCTTACAGTAATAGTCCACATAGCAGTTATAGGTCTTGGAACCAAATGTGCTGTTGTCTCTTATTTTCCAAGCACAGATAAATATGTGTAAAGTTTCCGTTGCATTCTGTCACAGTGTTACGATGGATCTTTTTATGAAAGGAGCTTACTGCGATTGTTCAAAACAACTTTGCACGTAATGAATTTAGTCTCAAAGGGACTTCAAAATTGATTTAACTAACAAAAGCTGTCGCCTGTTCTAACAACAAATTTACCCCTCGAGTTAACACATACGAACAAAAATGCAAAAATACAAGAAACTGTTCTTTATTTGTGCACCTACACAATCAAACTCTATATGCAACACTGCATGTGTGTCTGTGCTTGTACATGGATCAACTGCTTATAAATAATTCCCACGTTTATTTCTTTATGTGTGTCAAGCTCAAAAATCCCCATTAACTATGACACATTATTAATTATAAATACAACAGAGATGGAAAAGAAATAAAGTTTGTGGGTCTGAGTCTGAGTGTGTGTGTGCATGTACAAATAGGTGTAGTATGTGTTGGTTTATTAATCCTTCAATGCATGTTTGTATGTTTGCATGTGCATTTATTTTTCCATACTTTGATTTCTTGACATTATTTAGTTATTTTATTAGTTAATTCAGACTTTCAATTAGCAAAATATGCCTGTGTGCTGTACTGATTAGCAAAATATTTATTTACTGATGATTTCCTGTATTTTGATTGTGCAAGTGATAATTCATAATGACCTCATACCTCATATAATAGTATATCAATATTTTTCACATAATACTGTATATAAGAGATACAATTCCTTGGTTGTGCTTTTATGTTTCTGGCTTTGTTTGATTTCTTCCAACTTTAGCTGCTGTTCCACCTCAATGGAAGCCCTAAAATGAACCAAAGCTAAAAATAATAAATAATAAATAAATCATAGGTGACCAAAAAAAGAGAAAGACTGTAACTGACAATCTTTGTTAAATGACATGAAAGTACATTTCTGGGCAGAGATCAGAGCCTTCCTGGGAAACAGCTTTTACAGGGCAAAACAAAAGCTGTGTTCAGCTGCTGGTTCTGTTGATGAAAGCATGAATTAATCGCGCTTCCAAATGTTGGATTTATCTTGTACTCTACGGTAGGACACTGTATTTAAAGCAGGAGTCATTCAGATAATACAAAGGTATCTGATAGTGTGTCTCATTTAGGAAAATTATCCATTACTGTTTGACCCACTAAAAAAAAATAAAAATGAAAAAACAGCCTTTGTTCTGAGACGGTCTTATTTTGGCTCCTACTATCATAGGGTAGGATAAATGCATGTAACTACCAACAGCTGTTCCCTAACAATGCAGCCACTTCAAACTGCTATAATTTGATGTTTACGCTGTACAGTTTAGAATAGACTGAAAAAAAACTAAAAAAGCCTTTTTTTTAGTTATTTGTCTTCCTGACTCCCCATGATGCAGTTCAAAGTTGCAAACAGATGGCTGGTAAATATGTGAACCTGGACCTGAATTAGACCCCCATAGAAAGAAAAAAAAAAAAGAAAAATGGAAAGAGAGATTTAACTTTCCAAAAACGTATCCAACTAGAGTAAATCATAGCTGAAGTCAGGATGGAGAAGTAGTTGTGATCGTGGTCACAGAAAGAAAAGGGGAAAAAAAAGGTGAACTGTCGCATGCGTTTGTGTGTTTGAGATTTGTTGTGGTATGGTGCATTAATGTGCTGTATGGAAACTTGCAACTTTTCTGCTGCTGTCAGAGGAAGCCCCACCGGCAGAAACACTGCCAGGGCACTTAAAGCTGCTCATTAAAAATGCAGGGGGAACAATTAAATTATACCAAGTGCTCAGTGAATGGTTTTGAAGTGGCCTCAAGTGAGTTTTTGTTTTTTTGGTTTCTTAATTGTTGAATGAAAAAGGAAAGTTCCCGTTGTCTGTCTGTCTGTCTGTCTGTCTTTATTTTAGTTTTACTATATCTTTATCTATTTTCTGCATCCATCTTTCTCTTTTAATGTTCCTCATCTTCCTCTCTCTGACCCTCTCTCTCTCTTACAGGAACTTGATATATCCTGTGCCAGGAGAGGAAATGGTTGTTTGTTTGGTCAGTTAAACTAGGGGATGATGACAATCTCCATCCTGTCTCCCTGACACACACACACACACATACACACACTCGTTTTACCCTTCTGTCTCTCTCTCCACCTGTCTGTCTCTCTCTCCACTGTCTCATTGATATCAGTACCAGGAAGCTCCCGCAGCGCAGCTAGAACAGAGGGCCTCAGTGTGGTGGGTTTACCCAGCTAAGTGCCCTGGCAGTAGGGTAACTTGACCACCTCCAGGGCTCATTTTGCTTAAAACCATAAAACTGGGAGCCAACAACCACAGAGCGTCTTTTAGTGGCTCCAAAGAAGATCTGAAAATCTAAAGAAAGTGATTATGAAAAAAAAAAAATGATAACTCAATGAAAGAACAGCCACAGAACTCATGTATTTTTACTTTATTTGATTATAAAA